ACCCACCCGTCAGCCCCCACATGCTTGTGCCTGATGTGCGTGTGTGCCTGTTGTTTGTGTGTGAGTGTGTGTGCTTTCGAGGTTGCCGGGCAGCGGAAAGAGAGGATGCAGTGGTAATGTGAGGCTCCGGGAGAGACTGACAGGAGTGTGTGTGCGTGTGTGTGTACATAATCTATTAATTAAAGGCATGGCAGCCAAACGAATGGGGGACCTTTTCTTGTGCGATATCTCCATCAACCCCACCTCACAGCCCCTCCCCCGCTGGCTCTCCACCCCTCCCAGCCACCCACACTCTCCAAGTAGGCAGAGAAAACACACGATAAAACATTTATTGAGAGTTTAAAACCATATCACCCAGACTGCTGTATAAAAAAAGGTAATTTACAATATTAAACTGACTTTTATCTACATACAAATGACTACCCCTCCCACAACCTCTTAATATATGTGAGAAGTGGGGTGAGTGTCATTTCTCTCCATCTCAAGTAACCCAGTTATGCCATAAAGGAGAATATTAACTTCCTCCTGCTTTTTTACTTCATCTTCCATTTCAGTTTTTGCTTTCCTTCCCAGTTTATTTCTTTCTATCAAGCCTATAGCTTTCCCTTCAGGTAGCGCAGTGAGGGGAGCCAACAGTCACAGTTTATTGCGCTGCCACCTGCTTTCTTCCCGGCTCTGTCATTGTGAATGTCTCATACTGAGAGAGGCTGTTGGTATCTCAACTCCTCCGCTGGCCCGGCTTGTTGCCATTTGTTACTTCTCACCGTCTACAGCGTCGCTCGTACCTGAGCAATCCGCGGTCTCAGACCTCCTGCGAGAAACAAACATCACAATGGACCACGGTGTGTTTGCGTTGTTGGAGAATAAGATCAGAAACACGTCTTATTTGTATAAAAAGTATTGTCTTCAGGAAGTATGCTTTCCACCGTGAATCAAACGAAGCGGATGCGTTCCGTCATGAAACACAAGCGATGGACAACTATAAAAACGTGAAACCAACCCCAGAGACAATACGACATTAGAAAGGCTTTATAGCTAATGTCTCGCCAACCACAACCTCTTGCCTTCACTTCCCCGCCGCATAATTTGTATCATTAAAAAACAAACCAATCTAACGAAGCTTCCTCTCATTTAGATGATCAAGTGAGAACATTCTGCACACAGTTCATTTCATAGCACCGTGTGAATCTCGTGAACATAAAGCGGATATTTCAATTCCCATTATTGCTCAGAGCCTGACTGATTAGGAGTGAGTCACACTCCCCATAATGAGGCTCCAGCAGACTCTTAGAGGTTAGCAGAGGTCCCATCTCGACGCCAGTAGCTAATTGACGATTATGTACAGTACACGGTCTGGGCAAAATCATTCATTTTAATGGGGTGATTATTGGCAGAAAGATATGTGGCGAGGGGACTCTACGTAGGTCTCTGAGGGACGTTCTGACATTGGAGGGTTTACATCTGCGAGCGTGGTGAGTTCACCATCAGGGGAATGAAAAACAACTTTTAATTTCCGGTGTTTTAGAGTCAAGATGTGTACCTTGTGTTAGAGAGGTGATAATGGGTACAACAGGAGAAACATAAAGAAAACGCAGCTACACAGGCAGATATTGCTGATATTATCACATGTGCACATGGCTGTGCACGGGGCTCTGAGCTGATACCTGTGACTCTGTGAACATGAGACAAATAAATGTGTGGTTTCACAAAACTGGCAGACTTAAATACAAGTACAATACAAATACAAATACAAGTTTCCCCCACACATCTGACCCTTAGTTACAGTACGGTAGGTTAGACTTTTCCAGTTGTGTTCTCTTTGTATCTTTTTTTTTCATATTGTTTAAAATAGGTTGACAAAGATGTGTCTCGCAATTGTGTGGTCTTTCTAAAGTCTGATCTCATTCATTTGAAATGGAGCCTGACAGACAGTAAAAAACAAACAGGAAAAATAATGCAGCTTTCATTTTTTAACAATTGCTACAGTGAATTGAGACCCACCCAGTGTGACAAGATCGGTGTTCTTCTTCAATTTCATGTCTTCTGTCTCAATCAACAGGTCATATTTCACTTTTACACTGTGATCTCCCTGGTTTTACTTATACCTCTATTATTGTCCTAGTAAGCTAGTCACAGCGACCTACCATTACGTTACTCTGATGACTTGCACTGATGGGGGTCAGTTGACACATGACATGCGTTAGGTCAATCTCTGAATGACGCTAGGTGATACTAAATACTTTAAAGTGGAATGATTCATTCGTCGTCACTGACTGCAGCAACTTAAACCGGTGCAGCTGTTTTTGCTGTCCACGACACACCTTCTGTCTCTGTGCTTGTTTGGCTTAACAAGGTCTCCTCGGCAGTACAATCAAAAGCAAAATGCTGGCATAACTGCTTCTGGTTTGTAATTTTATTTTGGGCACTTGCTTGTACTTTTTGTATTCTTCAAAGGCTTTTGCGAGAAATGAAATATAGAATACATTGTGTTAATGGAGCAGCAGGTGGAATAATAGAGAAAGAGATGGATCAAATGGAGAGTTCATCATTTTAAAGGCTAAGTATTTCATGATTTGATTTTCCCAGAATGTGGCGTCTAAATCTTTAAAACAAATGTTTTTCTAATGAATACTGTCATCTCATTTAGCATTATGCAGTACTGTGTTAGCAAAGAATACATGAAAAACTGCCAAATGGTCAGATATAGGAATGTAATATGAAAGTTCTTGTAGCTAGAAATGCATGTTGTGGAAACATAGTTCTCTTTAAGATATCTCCCCCAAGAATCAATAGAAAACCCACATGCTTGACTTGAACTGGATTGATTTGAAATAAGTGGCTTTTGTTCCAATACAGGAAACGTCCTTTATAGAAGGATGAGGTATAGAAAACGATCTTAATGCTTCCATACTGCAACAGTGGGAGAAACACAGGGAAAAATGAAAGAGATCAAAAAGGATGAAGATCTGTCACACTAAAGAAATCACACTGTGACACAATCACACTGAAGAAAATGCTTCGACACGTTTTATTTTCATGACGGGAACAGCTGACTAAGAAAGTATTTACAGGGCAACGTTTCGGTCTTCTATTATTTGGGTTTGAGGCCCAATGCTGTTGGTGTGCTATGATGCACGCTAAATCCTGACTGGAAATCCTTGAACAAAGCATTGTTTTGTGAATGGTCACATAATGGATTTGTGACAGATTTCTCAAGGATCTTAGAGAGGAAGGGAAGATTAGTGATAGGTCTGTAGTTAACCAACACCTCTGGGGCAAGAGTAGGTTTCTTAAGAGGTTTAAATGAAGCTTAGGCGAAAATTCAGTCAGGAAGACTGGACAGGCTGTGCTGTTCCCTGGTGGCCTCCTCTCTCCCTGGGGGCGCACGGCCAGCTGATTAGGGGCGGGGCCGGGTAGTATCAGACGTGGGTGTCGTTACCGTAAACCAATAGCATTGGTACAGGCAAACGTTAAAAACTGTTCTCCTCTCTTTTGCTGTCAGTTGTCATTTCAGCACGCTCCAAAGGTGACCCGCCACCACCCCTGACACCTCCAATCTACAGCAGAACCTGGCATATCAGGAGATTTATGCAACTTGGGCTCCACCACCACCACCACCAGTGTCTGGACTCCCAAAGGGGGGGATATGCCTCGTCTCGGCTCGAGATCCCGGCCCCGGGTCTATCCTGCGGCAGGATGGAGTTCAAGCCCCAAACAACTTGCAATATCATATTATGCCTGTTATAATAAAGCATGGTTCAAATTTCAACAAGTCTCTCCGGATTGAATTACAGCTTCCTTGAAAGACTGTGGTACATGTTCTGTCAACAAAGACAGATTCATAATATCTAATAAAGACGTGCTAACGAAAGAAAAAACTTCCTTAAGCAACCTAATCGGAATCTGATCCAAGAGACAAGTAGAAGATTTAGACTTCAGGTTTGAGGGTTATACAAGGAGCAAACTTTCTTCTTGTTACCATTCTCCTTTCTAGAGGAGCAATATCGTCCAGCACCACTCTCAAAGAGCCGTATCGACAAGATGATGGATCCACACAACTTTCACCAAGGACACCAGAATTCCATGAATGTTCATGCTATATTTATTTAAGGTCCTTCAGAATTATTTTGGCAAAACTATTGAGTAGCATGTAAACATAGTTTATCAAGGGATAGGGTTGAAAGGGCATTCATAAGTAATAGTGGGTGGGATTTGCAGGGATATCACAGCAGGGAGTTGTGATGCTGGTGTTGCTGTGAAGTGTGTTTGGGTTATTATTAGACCATCCCGTAATGAGAACACTGACCAGTAATTGATTGGAACGTGTGCATGTGAGAAAGGGCAAATTACCCTCTCTTTGGATGAAATGGACCAGGAGAGGGTTAGCGTTCAAGTGTTAAATACTTTAGAGGTAAGTGAGAAAACCTATAAACGGATAGGGACTTTAGACATGGCTTAGTTAAACTCCATGTGACACACTTTGGCTGTGAGGAAATACCTTAAAAATGAGACATTAAATCTTCTTAGAAATGAAAAGTAAGATTAGAGATTCTACATTTAATGCATAAAGGTTAGGTCTGCTTCCTTGATGAGATCCCCTTGCAGTCAAGTGGAACAAAAGCTTCAATCGTGGAAACTCACACACTTAATGTAATGTATAAAGAGTACAGACCGTTGAAGAAAGGATTTCAGGTGGTGCATTGTGACTTTAATAGTGTGCGATTGTCTAGTTAGCCAAGGAGATCCTCGTTATACATTGGGTTAACTTCAGAGCAGAACACACACAAACGGTGGGATGTGAAAATGTTCCAAATGTTCCAGCAAAGATTATAATTCAAATCCCTGTGTGGAGCCGCAAAAGGTGTGGAAAACAGTCATTAAATATGTATCTGTTGGAAATCCATTCAGCCTAGAATCAAAGACTTTGAAAAGAAGAACAGTGCTTTTATTTTTGAGGAAGACAAGCGTTGCAGCACAGTCTGATTCATTTAATCCGGCCC